ACAAACTTTCTCTTTTTCTTGTCATGCTTGCAGGCCGTTAAAAGAGTTGAGATGTTGCCATGACATTCACCTTGGAATTTAGCTGCAATCATTTTCACGTTGTGTGGAGGGGGGCATAAACAATTGGAGGGTGTATTGAGTATCAACTTTAGGTTGTATTTTGCTTCTCATGTGTGGATATAAGCGTGTAATGTGATTGCTGCACCATTGGGGTTCAAAATTGTATATGGAAGATGTTTTGCGGTAAGCTCACCACTAGTCATGTGAAACTTGCTTCCAGTATTCAACTTTTTTGAACCCAAACAAGAAAAATCTGATGAAAGCAAATCACTTATTTTGATTTCCATTTGTTATCAACCAAACAGTGGAATCAGCATGTTGCATTTTCTGTGCAATGTTTCCGACTAAAGCAAACAAAAATTAATAATTTCCAAGAAACGCACAGAAACACATGGAAAGTCAGTTCTGAGCCTAAAATTGATTTCCCGCTAAAATTAATTTCCCGGTGTTCACATAAAACATCAGGCATGTCCATAGAGGAAGTATGACAAGGGGTCGGATCCTTATTGGATATAGACCTCAGGAATTACTAGGTTTGGGTTTGGGTATTGAGTTTTTGTACTTTTCTGTGATTAGTGGATATGTATATATTTGTCTAGAAAATTTTAAATTAAAATAAAGAAAAAATTGTGTCTAGGCCCCCAATTATGAATCATCATTTGATGAAACCAATTAGCTTTTTTAACCATGTGTTTTGGCTCCTTAACCTAATTTCTCATGTATAAAGGTCCCTTCTCAACCCATATCTTTCTCACATCTCTAAAATATTCATTATCTTCCTCCTCATCTCCTCCCTCATCTTATATTCTCTCTCTTCCTCCACTCCACCTTCTCTCTTCCTCTCTTCTCCCCTACTTCCACTCTCCTCCCTTCTCCTCCATTCCACCTCCGCTCTCCACTCTTTTATGCTCGCTCTCCTCCCTCTTCAATGCCTCATCCAACTTTATTCACCTCTCCTCTCTTTCCTCCATCCTTTCTCCATCCCCATCCCTCCTTTTCCACTTCGCGCCCCTTCTTCTCTAAATTCCGTCTCTAGTCATCCCCCCCCCTCTTCCATTCTACTTTTACTTTTCTCTATTTCTTTCCCCATTTTTATTTTCTCGTTCTTCCATAATTATTGTCTCATCTCTTAAAGTCATATTTTTTTGGCTAAAATAACCATTTTCTGAAGCCACACTAAAGTTAACTTGACAGCTAAAGTTAATATCTAAACTCTACAATTAAAATTAACATAAGGTCTAAAGTTAACATGTGAGGTTTAAAGTTAACATCTAACAATAAAAATTAACACGTGAGATCTAAGGTTGACATATAACGTATAAAGTTAACATCTAATTTTTGAAATTAGTATAAAAGTTCTAAAATGGTTAGGTGTTAACTTTAAACGTCACATGTTAACTTTAATTGTTAGATCATAACTGTAAATCTTAGATATTAACTTTAACTATTGAGTATTAACTTAGGCGTGACTTTAAGATATGAGCAGTTTAGTCAAATGACAATCATTTAGTAATGCAGTGGTGGTTGTGGGAGAAGAAAGAGATCGAGATGGTTAAGAAAAGATGAAAATAACAAAGGAGTTCTCATGGTGGTGAAAAAAATAATAGTTAAGAAAAAAATATGAAGAAAGAGAATGTTGATACAACGATGGAGGTGGTGGTCAAAGACATGATAATGGAGGAGGAGGAGCAGGAGGAGAATAATTCATGGGTTTATGAAATTTTTTTTGAAAGATCGAAGGTGGGGATAGTTTGGAGATAAAAGCCTTTTTCACATGAAAACTTGGGATAAGGGGCCAAAACACATGGCCAAAAAGCTCAATTGATTTTGTTACATGATGGTTCTTAATTTGGGGTCTGGACACAATTTTCCTAAAATAAAACTGATTTTCACCCATGGATATTTTGAAATTGATAGCAAACTGTACACCTTAATTTAAATGCGTCAATCTGATGTCCTAACATTGAAGGTTACTACATATTATAAGCAAAATAAAATATGTCATTCTTATTTAAAATTATCAAAAATATTAAGTTTAATCATAAATTAAATGTTTGATGGTTGAATTGTGATTTTATTAGGCTTCATTATTGCCTTTGTTAATGTTATACTTTTTTTTGGTTTGTGTTGGTTTTGGGTTTGGGGGGGGGGGGGGGGGTNGGGTGGGGGTTTGGGGGGGGGGGGGATGTGTTTCAAAAATGAATCCCCGGTCTTCTCCATTAGCAAAGTTTTAAATTTTGAAATTGCTATTTAAGTAAATCATCAATACTTATCTAATGGGAAAATGAATCAATAGAAAATTTTGCAATCACCAAACTAGGACAATGTTCCAACCTAGAGAAAACTTACTAAAAATAATGTTTGAAGCCCAAAAAGACAATTTCTTGCTAGCCGCTTAATTTTGAAAGAAAATTTTAACTTTAATTATAATCCAGCTTGAAATTGGATCCAAGATCATAAAATCTATATTGAAACCTAACAACCATTCTGATGGTGATGAATAAGAAATTTTTATTGAATGGTTTATATAGTCTTTTTTTTTTGGGAAAAATGTGTCCAGGCCCCAAAAGCAGAAAGTTCATGTGACCTGCCCCCTTGTATTTTGCACCATGTGATTCAGCCCCAAATACACATTGTATTTGTGTTAAGGCCCCAAAGTACCAGATCCTGAGAAAAACCCAACAAAAGTTACAAATTTACCCTTTGATTTGATTGAGCTTGGTAACTGCGTCCATCCCTTTAACCCCATCCCATCTCTCTCTCTCTCTCTCTCTCTCTCTCTCTCTCTCTCTCTCCACTCTATCTCTCAGCTTCTCCTTCTCTCTTACTTCTGTCATGGCCGCTGAAAATGATCAGACTGAGGAGGTCGTGGAAGGCGAAGGCGAGGACGGTGGTCATGGAGTCGGAGGTCAGGGAGTCATCTTAGAAACAGCTCGTGAACGCGGGTTCAACAACAAACACGGAACATGGTCCGGGGACCCGCGAGCTGACGGAGCCTGGAGCTTTGGTCTGATGCATCGTTGTTCTCCCCTTTCTAGGTTACGGAATATCTTTACCCAAATCAATGTCTTAATCAAGATAGTGCTCTTGTTTTCTTGTAATTTATGAAGGGAATCGATATTGGATTTTTGTAGTTTTTCTCTTTCATTTAATTGAAATGAGATCTCCTTGGATTCTTGAACAGCAGTTTGGGTTTTTCTTTAATGCATTTTTCTTGTGTGATTTGGTGATTGACAGAGTTTTGTATAAGAGATTAACAGCAGAAAATTCAAAAGCTCACATTGAATCTTCAGACATATCGACATTTAGCTAAAAATTAAAGATAATGTGATTAAAAGTCGACTAAAGAATCTAAGAACCTGTGAATTTGAAAGGGGGGTCAAGGAAAATTAGAACTATAAATGTTAGTTCTAAGGGCTGTTATGTTAGTTCTAAGGGCTGGAATGTTAGTTCTAATGGCTAGAACTAACAAAGAGCCCAATGTTAGTTCTAAGGGCTGTTATGTTAGTTCTAAGGGCTGGAATGTTAGAAAAGCTCACATTGAATCTTCAGACATATCGACATTTAGCTAAAAATTGAAGATAATGTGATTAAAAGTCGACTAAAGAATCTAAGAACCTGTGAATTTGAAAGGGGGGTCAAGGAAAATTAGAACTATAAATGTTAGTTCTAACGGCTATTATTTAGTTCTAAGGGCTGGAATGTTAGTTCTAATGGCTAGAACTAACAAAGAGCCCAAGAGGGCTGGAATGTTAGTTCTAATGGCTAGAACTAACAAAGAGCCCAAGAGGGCTGGAATGTTAGTTCTAATGGCTAGAACTAACATTGGGCTAACTAACAAAGAACTCAATGTTAGTTCTAAGGGCTGGAATGTTAGTTCTAATGGCTAGAACTAACAAAGAGCCCAAGAGCCCCAAGGCCCAAGGCCCAATCAAAGACCTTTAAATATATATTGTAGTTGCATGGGCTTGAACTCCTAACCTCCTCTCCAAATTCCCAAGCTTTACCACTAGACCAAGTAGCCAAAGTGTTAATGTTAGTTCCACTTAAAGTTAGCTCTTACTTGCCATTAGAACTAACATAAAATAAGTTAGAACTAACATGAAAATAAGTTAGAACTAACATGAAATAAGTTAGAACTAACATGAGTTAGCTATTGATAGAGTTTAAA